ATCAGATGACTTCCCCTCTAAATATTGTATTATGCACCTTGAAAGTACAAGTGCATTCTCCTACACAACCACCATACTATTATTACTCTTCTCTTTGTTGGACAGTGATGCCTAAGATCATCACATGCCCAGTACATATTCAGAATGCCCCTGCTCTGCCCCACATGACGTCCATACAAGTTCAAGTGGGATCTCAGGCAAGAATAGACATTGTAATCTGTCATGATGTACCCCTCTTCTTTAAAATAGCAAGCCTTCCTCTTCTTCATGACATGGATATCTTGCAGTCACATTTTTGCATAAAATGTATTTGCTGTTCTCTGGATTTGCATGGTTGTCTCCTTGTGGTCTCATTCAATGCACTAAGCATGTATAGGAGACTTTTACATGGGCTCCTTTGTCTGCCTTTGTGCCCAGCCCTCACAAACCTGTTTATATTTTACATACAAAGTTGCCTCAACTGAACTCTCTCTCCCAAGTAGTATTTCTGAATGACCATGGCAGCTATCTGATTTTAAATACACTATTGTGGATTTTCTTCCTCTTGGTATGAAGCTTGAAAACAAATGTACCACCCAAGTAGAACTACCATTTTTTTGCAAGTCAGTACATAGCAAATGTTCTACTAGATATTGTACCCCAATTTCTACTCTCTTAAAACCTTGTAAAGAAGGCTTTTTGGGGGTGGGTTGGGTGGTACTTAGGATTGAACCCAGGGCCTCATGTGAACTAGGCAGGCACTCTACAGACCAATGAGCTATTTCCCCAGTTAAAACACTTGGACTAGTATAGTGTAGAGACAGAGATAAGAAGGACAGACTTCAGATATTGTGGAGAGAGAGTACTGCCCTTCATGGAGGTTTGATTGTGTTCCTGTGTTATTGAGGGAGGGAGGTGGAGACCAATGTGAAACAGGTCTGGATTGGTGACAGACACCAAGCCTTTTGTACTCAGGACTGCCTAATTTAAAGATTTTTATTCTTCACTGTGTTGATGACTGACAGTTGCATAAACAAATTTGCCAAAGTTAGCCTAGAACTAAAATATTTAAGGAGCAACATGATACCCAAGTAAAAATAACTTCCATTAGGGTGTGTCTTACCTTCAGGGACAAAACACTTAGCCCCAAGCACTCTGCTGCTTCAGTTTCTTTCTGGATTCTTCTTTCTCTTTGTTATCAAACCAGTTGCCCAGGCTTTTGGTTTGGAGAATTCATCATGAGGATAGCTTGAGGACGTACGAACAGCCATGATAAGCTCACTTGCACCTCTCTGGACTGACCCATTTACTGTGTCAGATCGTGCTATGGCTATATCAGAGCATTTAATGCTCCCAGAGTGCTTCTGAGCCTTGGCTGTATTCTTAATTAGTTTTTTTTTTTTT